AGTTCCCCAGCCAGCTTGGCTGGCTGGGGAATTCTGGGAGCTGAAGTCCACACGTCTTAAACGTGCCAAGGTTGAGAAACACTGTCCTAGAAACTGAACCAGTGGTCAATCCATGAATGAGCCTGTGGTGGTTGAGGGACAAAATACTTCTCCGAGGCACCGCACATCCCCACAGTATCCCGTCTGCTTCCATTCCGGGCAGATGGATACCCCAATTCAAAGTGGGGCTCTCCTCCTTCCAGGCCCCTCAGTCCCCCCTTAGAGATAGTTGTCTTCATCGCTCCCCCGGCCGTCCTCCTCTTCTTCCTCGTCCCCTGCCAGCGCTTCAATGTCGTGGGTGATGTGGGCGATCCGGCGATTGAAGGACTCCGACTCGGAGTGCAAGGACCAGCTGTCGTAGCTCCGCACGGCCGACGCGGAAGTGCTGCTCATGCTCCTCTTGATGCGGCCAAAGCTGTCAGTCAGGATGCCCCCCTCCCGGATGCCAATGTTCTCCAGGAAGCTCTCAAAGTAGCCGATGTCTTGGTCAGGAATGAACGGCCGCATACCTGAGAAGAGAGGACAAAGGCGTGGGTGAGGAAGGAGGCCAACAGAGTGAGGCCACGGAGGCTGGGGAATTCTGGGAGTTGAAGTCCACACGTCTTAAACGTGCCAAGGTTGAGAAACACTGCTCTACTAGCTTTTCTGCACATCCAGTTCAGAAAGAATCAGGAGCAACAATAATACAAGTAGTCCTCGACTTAAGAACACAATTGGGACTGGAACTTCCATTGCTAAGCAATGTGGCTGTTAAGTGAGTCACACACGATTTTATGACCTTTTTTGCCACAGTTGTTCAGCAAATACAGCTTCCCTCATTGACTTTGCTTGTTGGAAGCCCCTGGGAAGGTCACAAACGGCGATCATGGGGCTCCAGGATGCTGCAACCATTGTAAATACATGCTGGTTGCCAAGAGCTCGAATTTTGATCATGGGACTGTCTACATGTCTTAAAGTTGCCAGGGTGGAGAAACCCTGCACTACAGGTTCCTAGCTTTTGCTTAATTCAGTTTGATTGATTGATTGATTGGTTGATTGACCAACTGATTGATTTTGTGCCTTTGAGTCACTTTGGACTCCTGTCACCTAACAGGACACCTGCAGGTTTTTTGGCCGGCTTTTCAAGAGTGAAAAGTCCTTGCCTTCTTCTTCCTGGGGCTGAGACAGAGAGAGAGAGAGAGACGGGCCCAAAGTCACCCAGATGGCATCGTGCCTACCGCAGGACCAGAACTCGGGGTCTCCCATCTTCTAGCCCAGTGCCTTGAACCCCTAAGCCAAACTGGGTCTCTTCATTTTTGTCATGTTACTTAAGCAGCAGAAGGCCATTTTGCTTTCCAAATCTCACAACCCAGAAATTCCACAAAAGCAAAATGAATGAATGAATGCATAACTGGGTTATGTATAAATGCGTTTGTAACTTTAAGGAGAGACAAAACAGTTCAAACTCCCCTGTTCTACCCAGAAAGATGTTTGTTTAAATGAAGGTAATGTGTTAGGAACTGCTTTGTTTGTATAACCAAAACAATGAGACCAAAGGGGGAACAAACCATCTTTAGTTAATGGAGTTGTCAAAATGATGTGTGGCTGTAGTCATTTTGCAAGCAATGCTGTTTCCCGTACTTTTAAACACCAGGAAAGATGCCTTTTCGTTTCTCAGTGTTTTGCTATCGTAAATCCAGCAGCTTACAGCAAAAATTGAATTAACTCATATAATGCCCATTTTATATGTCCTGGGAAAAACGGACAATAAAACCACACTAACAGCAATTGTTAAATCCTGCTAAGTATTTTTTCACTTAGAAACTTTCAGCCCAAATAAGTAAATAAATGGATGTTGCCTTCAGAGGGACTGAATTATACACCACTAAATGGCTACCCAGTTCTCCCGTCTTCTGGTTTCCCACCACGCTGGACTAAAAACGAGCCAAGCAGCTTGGAGTTACGCAACTCCACAACTCCACACGCGCACACAAACTTAACCAGGGTTACAACAAAGAGCGGTCCTTTTAACTGGCGTTATTCCGCCATGCAGAAATATTGCCCCGACGTCAGACCTGTTTTGATCTTTTGCACCAAGGTGCCATCACTTTGCTTCCCTCACTGGCTACAATCCTTTGCAATCACGACTTCCAGATGTCTAAATCTGTCTGGATTAATAGGCTAGCCTGCAGTAATTTTCAATGTAGATGACCAGATTTCACAGGACAGAGGGTGAAATAATGAGGAAGGTGGGAGGGAACTATTGTTCCAAGGGAAGAGGAGTCAAAAAAGTCAGGATGGCTACCACCATATGATCACAGCTCTGCCCAGGTGTGACTTCAGTTGCACGCTCGTGGTTGCCATCTTGACTTCTCCGGCCCTCCCTGCAGAAGCCCCTGCAAATCAGAACATTTTCCCCCTCCAGCAGACGGACGCCTTTACCCAAGAGAAGAAATTTCCGCTTCTCCCCGTAGAGGTGGAGGAGGCCCGCGCAGTATCTTTCCACGGCCAAGCCGGTCCTGTATTCCCGGAGCAGGAGGGCGAACCCCTGGATCTCCTGTGGGGTCAACTTGCTTCTCAGCTGTAGGGCAAACATTTAGTGATTTATTTATTTATCATATTTACATGGCCGCCCATCTCACCAGACATGAGGACAGTTAGAGGGAGGGAAAACTCGACGAGACCCGCTTGGCCTTCCCCCACCTCTTCCGTTTATCTTTGGTTGTCTTACCTAAAAATAAGTCAATAAACAATATAAAAGTAGTATGTCAGCATTCCCAGGTAGACCAGACAGGAAGCACGACCAGAGAAACTAATTCTACTTTATTGTAAAGCTACATTAACAGAATCTTGCAAGTCTGAAAGTTCAGTTCTTCCCCCGTCTCCTTTACAGCCCAAGAAACTAGGGAGGGTCCCTTCTGAGCCTCTTGCCCTGCCCGCTGTCCGGCTGCGGGCCATGCCCTCTCTATCTGGCCACTCCCTAGGCAGTGCCTCTTTGGCCACTCGCAAGGTCTTTCCCACATAACTATTACATAGTATGCCATTGCCCTTCCTCCCTCCCTCCCTCCCTTTCCTTCATTTCACCCTCTTTTTCGTTCCTTCCCTTCCCTTCCCTTCCCTTCCCTTCCCTTCCCTTGCCTTCCTTCCTTCCTTCCCCTCTCTTTTTCCTTCCTTCCTTCCTTCCTTCCTTCCTTCCTTCCT